CTCCTCTCGTCCCCCCCCATCTTCTCTCTCTCTCTCTTCCCCATGCTCTCTCTCTCCTCTCTTCTCTCTCTCTCTTCTCTCTCGTCTCTCTCTCTCTCTCCCTCTCGTCTCTCTCTCCTATTCCACCCCTTCTCCTCTCACTTTGGCTCCTTGCCGTCTCTTCCCTTCCTCTCTTCCCACTTCTCTCACTCTTCCTCCACACTCTCTCTATAATTCTCTCATTCCTCTCTAGCCCCATCTCAGCTTTTCTATTTTCTTATCTCCCTCCGTCTCCCTCCGCTCCACCCCTCTCTCCTCTTTTTCTATCTTTCTTATCTCACTCCCTCTCTCCCGCATCTTCTCATTTCTTCGCTTACCTCCCGTCTCTTTCACCACCTTTTCTCTTCTCTCGCACGCTTCTTCCCCTCTATCCCCCCTCTTCTTATCCACCCCCTTCTCCTTCTCGCAGCCTCTCCCTCTCTCCCTCCCTCTCTTTTCCACCCTTCTCCTCTCCGCAACGCCTCTCTTCCCCTCCCCTCCTCTCTTCCACCCTCTGCTCTCGCACACTCTCTCCCGCTCTCATCTGCCCTCTCTTTCCGACCCTTCTCTCTCTTTAGTCACTCACCAGTCATGATATTTGGATGCTATTAATACTCTACACGGTCGCTCTACTGGGGCGTCCTCTGCAGTGACACCATCCTTAGTTGCGATGGCAAACTGTCGTATCTGTCCTGAATCCCACACTTGTCGATCGTCGTACTCGCTAGCACTCCACAATTACAGCTGATAATTCAGATATGAACGAAGACATACGTCAGATATCATTAATATCATGTTAGAGTGATCAGAATATATGATAGAGTTAGACAGAAAGTAGCGTCAAGTATGGAACCCACGTTCGCTCCGAGCGTGAACGGCCTTACATAACGGACCGACTAACCGGCTAATAGTGCCAGCCGTTCCGAAGTGGTAATCGTGATAATCACATAAACCTATTCACAAAATAAAACGAGCAGGACAGAGACAAAGAGAGGAACATACGCCATCGACGAGAAGAGCCGGGTCACACACGAGAGGGTAAGATATAAAGAAGCGAGGAAACAGAGAGAGGGCGAGGTGCAGGAAAGACATTTCCGAACGTGAGTCCAAACCAACAACAGCTTGGCCTAACTTAAATTATGTTTCCTTTTCTATGTTTGACGTACACGAGTACTTACTTATCGAGTAAATTATCGGTGTTGGTTATATGTCAGCAGTGAACATTTCCAGTCGGTAGTATCAGGATTAGAGTAAACGTATCGCGTAGTTAGATTATATCAGCTAGACATATGGCTGTTTAGTCAATGATTAGATGGAACTGTATAGCATCTTCTTGGATGAGATTAGCGAAATGATATAGAGCGGGCGAGCATTTTAGGGGGCTGTATCGATTTCGACGTAGCGGCCCTCAGAGAATCGCCATCGTTTATGAATTGTACCGTGATTGCGTGATTTGGTTTAATAAGATACTCCTTGCTGGCGTATCTATAAATTACGCTTGTCGGTTGCGGCGTATCACGATGTATCTTATATCGCGGTGGTTATGCCTCGACAAGTGCTAAACATACCATCCGCCACATTCCGCCGCGTAAGCTCATTAGAAGCACCGTGACATAAAATCCTTGCCTGACCAGTAATAAATTCAGTCACGTATACTACCCTCTAACGCTATGAAGTCTAATCATTTTTCAGCAGTTAATCCACATCCGTCAGACAATTCGCAGCCAGTTACGGTGTACGGGTTGATAAGCTATTTGAGACCTATAGCATAGCCGTACGATCGCAAGGAATAAATATGGGAATATCGTCACATTATGACAGCACTGACAGTGTGAGAGAATATAGATGAAATGAAAACTACAGGGAACGGGGATACGGAAATTTACGGAATGCCAATAGATAGCATAAATTTAGGAATATAGAGCAGTGGAATGACTCTCTCTCTCTCTCTCTCTCTCTCTCTCTCTCTCTCTCTCTCTCTCTCTCTCTCTTCTCTCTCTCTCTCTCTCTCTCTCTCTCTCTCTCTCTCTCTCACTCTGTTTCTCTTTATCCCTCTCCCCTCTGTTGCCCTATTTCTCTCCCTGACGCCCACTCCCTATCTCTCTCTCTCTCTCCATCTCTCTTCCTTCTCTCTCTATGCCTCTATCGCTCTCTCTATCTATCTCTCTCTTTTATTCTCTGTCTCCTCTGCCTGTTGCTATCCCTCCCTCTCTATCTCACTCTCTCAGCGCCCTCTACCTACACGACCCAAGCACGGACTCTCTCAGCGCCCCCTACCACCACGACCCGTGCGCGGACACTCTATCAGCGCCCCCTACCTGCGGAGTCCTGCGCCAAAACACGGGCAGCGCCCCCTACCTGCGGAGTCCTGCGCCGACACGAGCAGCGTGTAGGTCTCCTGGCCGTATGGCAGGTCGCGGTCTAGCGGCTTGTGCATGTACAGCTCCCCGCTCGTCGGGTCGACGCGGAAGGCCGGGTCGGCGGCCGGCAGCGTGCCCTGGCCAGACAGCTTGAACTCGATGCGATCGCTGACGATGTCGTTGTTGGTCACCTCTCCCGCGAACTGTGAGGGGGAAAGCGGAGAGGAGACGCGTCAGTTCCAGGGTAAAAAAAACACGGGAGCGATGAGCGATTCGCTCTTCAAACCTCCGAAATCGCTCCCGTGAGGCTCAAAATAGCTCCCGTAAAACTTTTGACGAGAGGTATTTTTTCCACAGACTTTTGAAAAAGAGCTCCTGTAAAATTTTTTTTTTCCCCCTGGTTAGTACGTACAGTAGTCTCGTGTGTCAGGGGTGGTGACCTAAGTTAATTCGTACAGGAGGGTCATGACTGAGGGGTGGTCACCACAGTTAATTCGTACAGGAGGGTCGTGTGTGAGGGGTTGTCACCACAGTTAATTCGTACAGGAGTCTCGAAGCGAGGTCACGACAGTTAATTCATAAAAAGGTGGCTCGTGCGACATACGTGAACATTGTACGTGAGGGATGATGGACCAACACAATTAATCTTCCACATGAACTGGGGTGTCAACATTCACTGCTCGCCAGGGTAAAAAATACACGGGAGCGATGAGCGATTCGCTCTTCAAACCTCCGAAATCGCTCCCGTGCGGCCCAAAATAGCTCCCGTAGAATTTTTGACAAGTTATTTTTCCCACAGACTTTTGAAAAAAAAGTAATTTTCCCCGTGCCGCTTGCGTACCTTGTACAGCAGCTTGGGGTTGGTTCCGTCGCTGGGGACGCTGGAGTCCTCCTCGACCGTCGAGACGTTGTACTGCTTGTGCGTGAACTCGGGCGGCCGGATGTTCTCCAAGGTCACGGCGACGGTCAAGGTCGCGTCGCTGCTGTGCACGCCGTCCGACACGGTCAGCGTGAGCACGTACTCCTGCAAGGAGGAAGCAGCTACAGATGGGGGTGGGTGGGTTGGGTGGGAGGGCAGGGGTGGGCGGCGGTCGGGATGTCGGGTTCCCGCGTGGTGGGAGGGTCGGGATGAGGATGAAGGTTAGCGGGTGGATAGTGGAAAGGTGGGGAAGTGGTTGGTGTGGGTCGCTGGGGTGGTAGGGTCGGCTGGGTGGTATTTCGCCCGGTGAGTAATTTGATTGCGAGGTAAGAATGGGTTTAGTAGTGCCTGGGAAGGTGTCAGTGTGGTGTGAGGTAAAGTGAGTATTGTTCCGGCAGTAGGGTGGGTAAGATGGGTGAAATCTTAGGATAAGGTGTGATGGTGATCCGTTGGGCAGTAGGGGAGGCTTGGGTGGACGATGGTAGCGGATGGGTTGATGTTGAGTGGGAAATATTGCGGACGTGCGGCCTTTGTGAGAAATCCCGGGTAGGGTGGAATGGAGTGGGGGTGAGCCCGTGGTAGACCCTGAATGATGGGGTCGTGGTAGAGGCTGTGCGATCCGATGGTTTAACCGATAGGATGAGACAGCCATGGATTAAAACAGGATAGAACAGATAACTAATGCATTGTCTATCCAAAACTATACATTAAACTCAAATTCCTCACATTTTACGGGCAACCTTTTCGCTCGCTCCCCTCACCCATATCCCTCCGCTGCTCGCCCTCCCTATCCCCTTCCACGTCTTTACACCCCTTCCCGCTTCTCCCCCCCGCCTCGCGACTCACGCGCATCGAAAGACTGCATCAGCATTTGTCTTAGGGAGACCTCTCCCGCCTCCTGTTGTACACGGCAAGCCCGCCCCACGTAACCATCCGTAATGAATTAAGTGAAGATGTGCCTAGCGTGTGTGTGGGCGGCGTGGGGCGAGAAGAGAGAGAGAGAGAGAGAGAGGAACAACAAAGGTACAACGTGATTACATAGCACGCTTAACGTCTCGTTCCCAACAAAACTAGTGAATAATAATGTTATTATATGATTGTAATTATATTATGTTATGATAGTATTATTATATTAACATAATATTTTTAATTAACCTTCGAGCAGTTATAAACTTGAACAGCATACATAACACGTGGATGTCACCCTCATAGTGCCACACGTAAATGTCACCAGACTTAAATGTCATCACGTGTGAATGCCAACACTCGTGAATGTCAACGCACGTGAATGACGCCACATAACAATGTGTCGTTATCCATCTCGACTTGCCATCCCGACATGATTATTAGACAACCACGCACGAGAGAGAAGCATGCACTGAGGAGAAGAATGATCTAGAACACAACTACCACTCACAATCTTCACACAATGTCACACGCACGCTTCGTCCGTGCATCCCCCGTGCTAGCTCTAAGTAATATATAGGCCTCACTGCACTGCAGACAGTAGTGTGGTGAAACCTACGGTAACTAGAGCTAACTAGCATCACGCCTGTCCACTCAAACTGCCGTGTTAGAAGCAGAAGCAGCTCTGAGTGGATGCATGATGCTCCGTGTGTGGATTTAGTGAGAAATTAAACCCACCTACATGAGACAAACATTATAATAAGGATTTAGTGAGAAATTAAACCCACCTACATGAGACAAACATTATAATAAGGATTTAGTGAGAAATTAAACCACCTACCCTACGATGCAGCAAGAGTGAAATCGCTCATAAATCGAATTGATTGATTCAATCAATCAGATTGATTCAATCAATCAGATTGATCAATCAATCAGATTGATCAATCAATTCGATCGTCATTAAATCTAATTAATCATTCAAAGCAAGCAAAAATCCATCAATCAAGCCAAGCAAATAAATAAATGAAATCGATCAAACCGATCGACAAAATCGATCAATGAAATCAATGTAACGCAGCAGGCAGAGTAGAAACCAATTCGCCCGATGTGTGAGCTTGTTGGTGTGAAGGGAATCGCCTAGCCACCCCCGCCCCTGACAGCCCACCACAACCACAGACTCCACCCCCTGCCGCCACCATCAACGGTGGATGTGGAAGACACTCCCTCCCAACTAAATCTCGAGGGTGAAGCAAAGAGGAACTGAGGTTCGTTCGTTAGAGTTCCCTCTCCTCCCTGCAAACAGGGGAAGAGGAGGTTCTACGAGAGAAGGCCACTCGGTGAGCGACTACAAGCGTTTGCAGCGCCCTCTGTCACGACTAGGGGGCGCCACAAACAGAACTGTGTGAGAGCAAGAGCGAAAGAGGTAGTAAAGCATGCTGCGTTTACCTAGGCCTCGTCGGCGCCCTGGCGGAAGGAAAAACAGATACAAGCGATAAGCAAAAAGCACAACAGCTACGCCTTGCACTGCCACAGCGTTAGACTGCCGCCAGCCGACTTTAGCAGAGAGTTAGCACAGTGAGATTTGAGTTAGGTGCGCGTCTACAGCTGAGCGGAAGGTATTTTTTATTACCATACATTACTAGTACTGGTACTGCTCGATTGATTACTCATACTACACAACTATGTTAACCAGTGAAACGATTTTTTTTATTTAACATTGAGTGATGCTGAGCTGTTTCATATATTAATATTATTGTTATCATTATCATTATCACTATTATTATTATTATTATTAATATTATTATTGTTATTATTATTACATAAAGAACTTTATATTATATAGTTATATTATATCAAGAGAGGAGAATAGCATAGCAATGGTTAGTGGTTGCAGTTTGAGTTAATATATGCGCATATATGAACTCTATGTAGAAATAATCTTTTCTTGAGAAATCAGAGATCTGAACAGAAATCTACATCTAGAGGCAGATGTTGGGTTCGCAGACGCTGTCTCTGTCTGCGTACGCACCCCCCCCCCAATACGAGACTGCACGCTCATCACATCACTGCCGGCACACTTTCGCCCTAGCCGTTGGCCGAGGAGGGCTGTTTCGACCACTGCCGGCACCCCGGGACTTGTTTTTTAGTAATAAATTACTGATGGTTGTAGCAGAGACTCTGAGTTGTTGTTTTCTATCTAAAATTCTAAATTATACTATATATATATATATATATATATATATAGATTCGTATATATATACTGACGTAACAAACCAGTTACACTGTTACACCCCCACTGTCGCCACTCACTCACGCACACGACAGACCGCTGTTCCCACCACTGCCGGCACGCGCACTCGAACACATACAGACCAGCAGGCTGTTCCGATCGCTGCCGGCACCCCTTCACGCATGGGGCACACCCACCAGGCTGTTCCGATCGCTGCCGGCACCCGCTCCCTGGTTACCTTGCTCGCTGCCCGTTGCTCGACCTTGATCACTGAGGTGCCGACGGCGCTTGTCTCCATCATGTCGCCGTGTATGACGACTGCTTGAACTTGGGAGCGTTCTCATTCAGGTCCTGAAACGACGATGTAGACTGTGACGTAGGTGCCTGCAGGAGGAGAGGGGGGTGCATGTTATTTCGATCTCTATCTCTCTCTCGCACTCTCTCCTGCTCTCTCTCTCTCTCCCTCGTCCTTCTTTATCTAGGTCTTTATCTCTCCCACTCACTCTCTCATTATCTCTCTTACATCTCTCTCATTCAGCGCACTGTTACTTTCTCTCCATTCTCTCTCCTCTCTCTCTCTCCCGATTCTCTCTCTCTCTCTCTCCCTCATCTCTCTCTGTCTCTCTCTTCTCCTTCTCTTTCTCCTCTCTCCTCGTCATCTCTGTCTCCTCATCTCTTGTCTTGCTCTTTCTCGTGGCTCTCTCCTCTCTCCTCAGATCTCCCTCTCTCTTTTCTGTCGGTCTCCGTACTCCGCTCTCTCTCTTTCTGGGCCTTGTGTAGTGGTACTTTCCCAATTGTCTCATAACGGCAACTCTTACTCTCTCGACCAACTTCTATCTATCTCTGCCTGCTCGCTCCGTCATCGTCTCTCTCTCTCTTCTCTCCTCTTCATCTCTCCTCTCGGTCGTCTCTCTCTCCTCTCATCTCTCTCTCATCAATCTCCTCGATTCCCCCGCGGTGAATGTCGTACACACAGCCACACACACTCGACGCACTCGACGCACGCAACGCACGCATCACGACGCAATCCACACACCACACACT